CCACTTCTCCATTTCTCTTTCCCTTCCTCTTTCCCCTTCAATAATATTTTCTTTCATTTGATAGTCTCCACCTACCATGTTCGTCCTAACCTTCCTCAACTACTGGTGGTCGGAAGATAGTCTGAGCTTTGTCGTTGTTCTACCATCGAATTCATCTTTGCCAACATAACAATAAAAAAGGGCAGATATTTGCAATGGTATTGGGCGACCCCCACTATTTCAAAATCATAGATTTCTATTAATTTTTTTTTGTGAAATTCAAAAATTAATTAATTTTTTGTTATGGTCTAATCATGACCATAATGGTGTTGTTAATTTGATTTAGAAATAAGAGGGAGAAATAACAATGAAGAAAAAGAGACGGAAGAAGAAAGAAGAAGAGTAAGGAAATGAAGGGAGGTGGGTGAACGTAGAAGAAGGGGGATTGTTGGGTACATGTTACTAGGGGTAAGTGTGAGGCATTTTTCCTTTTCTTCTTTTTGGCATTTGTAACTTCTTTTTTTGCTGATTTAGTATTTTAAGAGTGGGACCCACAAATAACACATGTCAAGTAATAAATAGTCTAGCATATGATGTGTTGTACATGTCAGCGCAATTGATATACACGCTCTGCTGGAGCCTAGATGTATTTATTAGTATCCATTCCATTAAGTTGGAGCGTTCAAATGGAAAAAATGTAAGTTCATGTATCGGGTTTACAAACTTATACAAGTTTAAGTGGTCACGAGGCCATTTGACCTAATTAATACTAAGGATAAAATGAAAAAGAATTAATTACATCTTAATTTTCTAAAATGACAAGTATTTTAGACATATTATTTTTAGGAGCCACGATCACTAAAATGGTGTGGAGGGATTAATTATTTGAAAGTGTTAATTGAAATGATAATTACTAAGAGCCCGTTTGGACATAAGAATATTTTTACTTTTTACCGAAATCAGTGTATGACCATAAAATTTTCAATTTTCACTTGAAGATGAATTTAGGAATTTTTCAAAAATTTAAAAAACTCCAAAAAATTATTTTTCAAAATTTTCACTTAGATTACTCACAAAAATTCAAAAATAACCCAAAATTATATTTATGTCCAAACACAAATCTAATTTTCAAATACCATTTTCATTTGAAAAATAATTCTCTTTTTATTTTTATTTTTTTTGTAATTTTACTATTCTTATGTCCAAACGCCCACTAACCCAAACGGGCTTAACCCAAAAATGACTATATTCGCACGAAAAATCCAATTATATAATCAGATGTCATGACTCATGGCTATTCAGAGTTTGTTCTGTTTTGTTTCAAAGGAAGATTGTTGTGTCGCCAATGGCTTTCCGTCTCGTAGGGTAAGTTGGTTTCAGCCTAACTTTTGGTTTATCCTAATTCCTAAGGCTTGTTTGATCTCTGTCTCAATTTTTGGGGGATTTTTAAATTTTTGGTTTGGGTAGAAGACAAATGGCTGCTTTGCTTGGAGCACCAACAACACAAATCAGGTATAAAAGTTTTTATTTTGATGGCAGAATTTTACCCCTTTTTTTTACGAAGAGGTCAAGCGAGCTCTGCTGCTTAGGGTTTGTGTGTTTTGTTTCAATGGAGATTGCTCTGCACTATGGCTTTCCACCTCGGAGGGTGGGTTGGTTAATTTTTGATTTATCCAACGAATTGATCGATTTTTGTCTCATGTTTGTTTTTTGTTTTCTTATGGTTTGGGTAGAAAACAATTGGCTGCTGGTAGGGTTTTGCTCGGAGCACCAAGAACACAAATGAGGTATGCGGGCGGCGACGGTAGATATATTGTTATTGTTAGGGGTGCCAAACTGACGGGTCGGGTCGGATATGAGCGAGTCGAAAACGGGTAATTCAAAAACGGATAAATTTAACCCGTATTTGAGATGGATAAAAAATGAGTTATACGGCGGAATGACTTCTTGAATATGATCACGGGAGAATTCTGGTCTTCCAAAATTGAGGAGCCCTAATTTGAAGCTTTACAAATATAAAAGTTAAACACATTGGTTATCCATTTGGTTAACCATTTTCTAAGTGGATAATATGGGTCTTATCCATATTCGACCCGCTTTTAAATAGTTCATTATCCAACCAATTTTTTAATGGATAATGTGGCTGGATAACTGTTTTCTTTTAACCATTTTGTCACCTCTAGTTATTGTTATTGTTATTGAAGTTTCGCGTCTTCTTGATTCCGAATTAGGGGTTACTGCCAGCAATTTTCTTCCGGTCAGGGAGGCGATTTTCATCCTGAGGGTAAATTTTTCAACGTACTGACTTATAGCCTGTTTGGCCAAGCTTCTCAAGAGGGAAAAAGTTTTTTTTTTTTCTTCTCAAAAGCATTTTTTCCCCTAATTTGAGGTGTTTGGCCAAGCTTTTTTTGTGCTTTTGGGAAGAAGCGGAAGCAGTTTCTGAGAAGCAGAAAAAAGTAGCTTCTTCCCAAAAGTAGAAGCAGAAGCAGTTTTGACTTTTCTTCTTACCAAAAATACCCTTAACAAAATATAGTATATACCAAAATAACCGTTAAACATAATATTTACAATATTAATGTATAAATATTTCTTATTATTTTTAGGATATCTTTCTAATATATAGTGACTTTAGGAGTGAATGCTTTTATATTTGTTGAATGATTTTTAATATATTTAACTTATATTAAAAGAATTAAATACTTTTAAATTTTATTTTCATATTTTACTTAAATAAAATGAAAAGATTTAATTATTGCATGTAATAACAATTTTTTAAGATTATTTATTTACTTATAATATTAACTATTAAGCGAATCTATTCATGTCCTTATTCGTAATTTGATACTTAAAAACACTTTCTGAAAAGCTTGGCCAAACACAAATTATTGTTCAAAAGTGCTTTTCAGATTGATTAGCCAAACACAAACTGCTTCTCTGCAAAAGTACTTTTTTCAAAAGCACTTTTAAAAAAAGCACTTCTCAAAATAAGCTGATTTCTCCAGCTTGGCCAAACAGGTTATTAGTCTCGCTTCAAATTTCATGTTTCAAATCTCATACTCTCATGTCTCTGCTGCTTGCATGCAGTTCAAGCTTTCTATAACGGGATAGTCTTCGGTGGGCTTCCCACCTTGTTCTGGTGTGTAACTTGACCTTGGATGGATTTTGTTTTAAATGATTAAAAAAAACGTGAAAATAAAAAATACTGTATCTACTACATGTGCATAAAATGATGTGACTGTCTTTCCAGCTGGGGTAATTATTTTGCAGAAACTTTTGTCTTCTGAAACACTTAATTCTTAATTTTGTTTGCAGGGCAAATTGGCAAATGTGGAAGATCGATCAGTAAGTTATTCCTTCTCTAGTTTTTTTTTTCCTCGAAAGTTAATAATTATTGTTCACAAAACAGAAGAAAAAAAAACACTAAGTGTATAACTTGAAGGAACTCTGTGAAATCTGAAATAGATTCTGCCTCTTCTACAACTCCATTCTGCACAAAAAATAAAACATAATTACATAGTTATACATGATTGCTGTATTGAGTTTTGAATATGCCTTCAAAATATCTTGCATTTCTTTCTTTCCAACCTGAAGTTCATAAAATTCAAGAAAATCTGCTACACTTAAGGATAAGCTTCTCTCAAGTATAAATATTTTGAATGTAAACTTTCCCTAAATCTGATATCGTTTCGTGCCTGGGATTCTAGTAGTTTTTGCCTGCTTTTGCGTTTAATGTCTGGTGAGTTGGTCTTGTTTTAATATGAACTTATTATCTATCCTCCTTGTATTGAATTCACTTTGATCTTTGTCTCTAGGTCAAGTAACGAGGTTTATACTGAGAGGTCTATGGAGATTGAAAAGATCCTGAAGGAGCTCAGCTAATGATTGGTTTGGCGCTTACAATGATGTATGACGCTAGCCTTGGGATATAGGCGTTTGTTAATTGTTTTTATGCATACTTGGTTGTGGTCATTACGGAGATGCTTACATCATATATCCTACTAGTTAAAACTCATTCATCGTTGATTGTGTGATGTCCTTTTTGAAAGGTATACTATACACTGTCACTGAGAAGTTAAAAACTCATACTGATATGTTTGTTGTTGATCAGTGTTTTACTGCTATGAAATTGCTGGCTAATGCTCGACTAAGTTAACTATCTACAGCCTGCTACAATATATCGTATCGTATCGTGACAAGCTTGCCTTTAATATCCTCAGACAGCTCAACTACACTAAGAATATACACTTCCGCCAATGCTTACATACACATTTCTGCATTTCTGCTATCGGGGTCCAGGGAAGGGCCGGATCATAAGGGTCTATTGTACGCAGTCTTACCCTGCATTTCTGCAAGAGATTGTTTTCACAGCTCGAAGCCTTCAAACTATCTAACCTGAAGTTCATACAAAAAGTAAACTCAAGCAAAATAGGAGTCCTGAAATCCTCTAATGATTTTGATTTGCTTTTAGGTTTTTCTCATGGTCTGCCCCTTATCCGCTTGCTCTCTATTAGATGACTTTTCTTCTTTCAGATTAAATTTTATCATCTGAAGTATATATATTTCACTTGCAAATTCATTAAAATTTAGCAATGAGTATTATTTGGATATTTCCAATTTTCCACCTTTTTATGCAACAATTTGGTTCTTCATTTCTATCTAGTTTTTTCTTAACAAACTCATTACATAATGAGTCGTCTACAAATTTATCGTCCCATATGAACACCAATAACAATACTAAATAATCTCGTATTAAAACCACAAGCATAAGGATTAAACAGTTGAATATTTTTTTTACTTTGTTTCCCGTTGAAGGGGAAATAAAGGTACGGCAAAAGAAAGGAACTTTACAGCAAAAAAATACCATACCATATATGCTGGTGAAGCAGGTATTTATATGATACAGACGAATGAATTAGCTTGAAAGATATAGTTAGAAGTTGTTAAAAATAACTTATACTATATACATAAAATTAATATGCTATATTATGGATTAAACAATACGTAGCATGATATCAAAATCAATAATTTCACAAAAACAAAGTAGCAAAATTCATGTCTAAAGTTAAAACATATGACTGAAGTGCATCCATTTTTGCTTGCTTGCACTAAAGACATGCATCGGAAGTGCAACTCGTCTGCTGATTCTTCAACATCAGTCGGTTCGGACCTCCACTTAGTTTCACCCAAGCTTCATCCTAGTCATGGATAGATCACTCGGTTCGAGTCCATAAGCAGTGACAATTGCCCTATGAAGATTTGCTTTCGCTACGGCTCCGGTGGGTTCCGTTAACCAAGCCACTGCCTATGAGTCGCCGACTCATTCTTCAACAGGCACACGGCCAGAGCCCTGGCTCCTCCCACTGCTTGGGAGCTTACGATTTCATGTTCTATTTCACTCCTCGATGATGGTTCTTTTCACCTTTCACTCATGATACTACTTCGCTATCGGTCAACCAGGAGTATTTAGATTTGTTAGGTGGTCTTTGCTGATTCATACAGAATTCCACGCGCCCCATGGTGCGTCTGAAGTGCATGTGCAAAAAACTAGTTGCATTTCAATTATATACGTTAAAGTGACTAAAATATTCTTTAGTTATAAACACTTTTGATGTTTATCAAATGCATAAATAAATAAATAAATAAATAAATAAATGCTTACAAGCTTATCCAAATACCCTGGTATCGAAAAGAGTTTTATCCTACGGACAAATAAATTTACAAGTTGAGTAATTTTTAATCAAAGGTTTAGTGGGAGTTGTATTATACATGAACACTTTGACTCATCAACCCTCACCCAGAGGCGGAGCCAAGATTTGAAACTTATGAGTTCGAAATTTTAAATTTTTTAAGTTACTGGGTTCTAAATTAATAATTTATACATGTTCAATGAATTTCTTAAGACAAATACATAGTTTGAACGAAAGCTACTGGGTTCGGCCAAACCCGTAAGTTATACTCTCCCTCCGCCCCTGCCCTCACCTACTTTTGAGTTTCGACTTTCGACCCCCTTTTTACACTAGTTGCTACTCCAATTTTTATGTATTTGTGATTTGACCACATGAGATTTTAGTGAAGACGTATTTTGACCCAGAAGAATATTCCTATAGCACACAAATTTGTGCTTCTGTTTTCCTTACTTATTTAATTGCGTGCTTTCTTTGTCTCCTAATTACATATATAATATTAATGTTTTAATAGTAAATATGGGAATGAATTCTATAGTTAGTTCACTTACTACGGTCAAAGTAATAGGTTATAGGTTATGCTAAGTGTTGAAAATTTAGCACTTAACACAACAAGTAGCAGGTTAAATAATAAAGTCGCTATTTATCACATTCAATTTATGTTCTATTTTGAGATAGACGTGTAAAACCATAATTACTAGGCTTGTCAACGGTATAATTTAGGAAAAATTTCGCATATGAACAACTGGGCTCCCTACTTTTTAATTTTATAGCCCACATTTTAATTTACAACCAACTAGCCCAAAAATAATAGGCTAAGATTCAACATTCAACTCAAATAGGTTCTCAAAATTACTATTTGATTTTTAAAAAAGATTGCTCAAGCTTTTAAGTTAATTTTGGAATCAGTAACCGTGACTCAAATATTAGTTCAACAAACCAAATCCATTTGGGTGGTGAAAACTAGATTTTTAACAAGCTTAAATATGTGAGTTTAAATTCCGAATTTGATTTTGTGAGAAATTTGGAGTGGGTGTTATTTAGACTTGTTAGAAATAGTATAAGGAGGTTGTATATGAAATTTGAAGTCATTTAATAGAGATTTGGACTGGTTTTGAACAAGAATTGCAACTGAAAATTGTGGAAGAAGTTCGTCTACAAACACTTGTATAAAGGTGTATAAGATGTGTTTATACACTCATATACACTATTATACAAGATTATCCATAATTATACAAAAAACTGATTTCGTCTTCTTCCTTGCGTCTTTTCTGAAATTTAACTCAAATCTTGCTCAAATATACTCCAAATTACTTCAAATTTAAATTTTGAACTCCTTTTGATATTTTCAATCAATTGGAACAACACCCAATCCAAACAACTAACAAACTCAAAAAATCTTATTTGCGATAGCAAAGCTTTGAATGGCCTTCAATGGTGGACTTCTACTCTTCAATTTTCTTACATTGCAACCAGGTGACACAGGGGGGAAGGGGCAGAAAATACACGGCCCCTTGAAGCATATGTAGAAGATGTGAGAAGAAGAGAGTGTGAAAGCAATGGTTGTAAGAACATAGATTTAACTCCATAACTTTTAGAAGCAATGGTTATAAGAACACAGATTTTGAATTTACTAGTGCTTTCAAAATATATACAATATGAGCTAGGTCGGATAAAACTTAAAAACATAGATCATTTTTTATTATGGTGTTGAGTCACAGTGTATTTTCTTGTAATTCTTTCTATAATGTAATGTAAGACTTACCAAACTTCTATTTAACCCACAGGAAATAAAGACAAACGTCCAAATCATTGAAATAAGGTGTCAAAATCTGTATATTTAACATGTTTGGTCCAAAGCTAAGGTTTCATTTCAATTCAATAGTCAATAGTATTAGGCATATTCCTACTTCTTAACTTAAAAGCGGAAATGGCATTTGCCAGCCTAGTTAGCAGTGTGGGGACACCAATAGGCTCCTCTCTTTTTCAAAGATTTACACATCCAAAGAAATAACCGTTAAATCAATAAATACAAGACACATATATACAACGATATATACAGAGGCGGACCTATGCAATTGATAGAAGGGTTACCGATACCTGTAAAGTCAGCAAAAATTTTATATATACATGTTTATGCCTTTAAAAAATAGTAACATATTAATAAAAATAATGAGCACCTTATATACAAAGCAGATTTTGGTTGAATCAAAATATCACGATCCAATTCCATTTTAGGCCGTGATGGCGCCCATCACCATTGCTAGGCAAGCCAACACTGAACAGTCTAGTGATTTTTCCATTTTAATAAGTTTTTTCCAAGTAAATAACTTTCCTTAATTTAATAGGTTTAGTAAGAAACAGATTTAAATCAATAAAACGAAAGCAACTGAATGTATTTATGGACATAGAAATAAAACCAAAATCACAAGTCTACTAGTGTGTGCCAAGATTTGGTGTCACAAGTGTGTGGGCCACTAGTAGAATATACAAAAGATCTGTGATGACCCGATAGGTCATTTTTAATTTTAACATTCATTGATGTATTCTGAGACCTCGAATAGCTCCATTCAGCCTTCCTCGATTCGCATGCGCAATCCGTATCTTTTTTCGAAAATATTTTATATGAAAAACCAAAAAAAATGTGAGATTTTACCTTTAAAACTCATTTGAGTTGATTTCGATCAATATTTTAAGCAAACGAACCCGGATCAGAGTTTTAATAGTTTCAGTGGGTCCGTATCGTGATTTGGGGCTTGGGCGTATGTCCGGAATCAATTTTGGAAGTCCCTAGCTTGAATTATCGCCATTTGACGGAAACTAGAAATTTAAAGGCTTAAAGAATTTTTAAATTTGACCATAATTGGATTTTTGTTGATACAAGGTTATGATTTGGATTCCGAGAGTTCGATAAGCTTTGTAACAATATTTATGACTTATGTACAAAATTTAAAGTTATTCCGAGGTGTGTAGGCATGTTTTCCGTTAGTTTTTGAAAAACAAACAAACAAAAGGTTTGATTTTATAAACCTTGAATTTCTAAAGTTTGACCGAAGATGTGACTTTTGAGCAAACGACTCCGAAATAGATTTTTTATAATTCCAATAGTTTCATATGGTGATTTTGGACTTAGGAGCATGTCCGGATTTGGATTTAGATATCCGTAGGATAATTCGGCGCATTTTGGCGAAAGTTGGAAAATAGAAGATTTTTGGAAAGTTTGATCGGGAGTTGACTTTATTGATATCGGGGTCAAAATTTAATTCTGGAAATTAAAACAGCTCCATTATGTCATTTACGACTTGCATGCAAAATTTGGGGTCATTCCGGATTGATTTGGTAGGTGTCGGCATCGAATGTAGAATTTGAAATTCGTTAGTTTTTATTAAGCTTGAATTGGGACGTGATTCGTATTTTTAGCGTTGTTTTATGTGATTTGAGACGTTGACTAAGTCCATAATATGTTTGA